CACAACTCCTTCATGGTGTTGGGATTTCAATTTCCGGCAATGTAATAAAAAAGAAGGTTACAAATAATACATGGATATTATATAAATTACAGTTAACCTAAACTAAACGGTATGTGCGCGCGCGCGCGCGCGCGTGTGTGTGTGTATGTCACGTTTACAATTATACTGACTTTACTAACTTCTGACTGACTTGCTTCTCACTGACTTTACTGACTTTTAACTGACTTTTGACTGAATTGCTTCTCACTGACTTTACTGTCTCACTACTGACTGACTATTAACTTTTCGTTGCTGACTTCTAACTGAGAGACTGACACTACAGACTGAATGACTGACTGACTACTATTGACGACGCGTTCTCTCGTGGGCCCCTATTTATACCTCCAAAAGGGGAGTCTTTTCCTTTGTCCAGGGCAATTGTTAAGTTGCAATGTCAAGCTGTGATTTACGTTTTTTCTTAGGTCCTATCGTGGTTAATCTCGGGTGCTTTGAAGGGGAGGTAATTTACGAGTTTCTCGAGTCTGCGGGAAAATTGCTCCAAGTGGATATCAAATTTTATTATGCCGTGAAAAATATAGCTGGGTAAACCATTATTCGTGACGTTTAGTCAGTTTTCTTAGGATGTTCGCATGTAGGGAATCTTAAGTCTGGTCCCAGATGACATTAATATGGAGGTTTCTTTGGAGCGTTTTATGTCTTGGCGCGACGTGACGCCGGCTTTATCTTTACTTGATATGAAATTGTTAGTCACCCTCGGGTGGAGGCTTGGATATATGCAATTTCCTTGGCTGTATTCCAAAATTGACTGCCAGTACTGAAAATCTATAGTGCATGTAACGTAAACTGTAGCATTTTCTGTGCTGGCAGTAAATTTGGAACACAGCTTTTATATGGGCATATTTTGTAATCGTACCGCTTCGAGCCCTGCGTTTTTTCCTAATATGGAATTGTTAGTCTGCCTCGGGTGGCAGCTAGGGAATAACGCAGACATATGGATTTCGCAAACCTAGCGTTTCCAGCCTTGCATCAGCGTTGTTGTTCTTTCTTTCTTGAGTTTGAGGCATTTATGAGTTTTCGTGGAAGCTTTTTAGGCCTTCTAATTCTTTCAGATTGTTAACAGGAGATTGCACTCGAATTTCATAAATGCCATCGTCAATCGCGGCGTGGAGCCGTCTTTCGAAAGAAAAGAATCGTGGCGTCTACGGGACGTAACAATTATTTAAGTAAAATTATTTAAGTAAAATTATTTAATTTTTTTAAGAATTAAATCAATATTTCGAAATGTTTATTTAATATTCATGGCTTATTGAGACTTTAAATAAAAACTTTTTCTGTGTGTTCACGACTGCTCGCTAAGATAACTGTCGACAGAAAGGCCTAACCTATTCGCGCATCATGGAAGCAGCCATCTTGACTTTTGACATTTTGGGCAATTTTCTGATTGGTTGAAAAGATGCGTTTCTGCGCATCGCTGGTGTTGGTTCACCTTCTCTTCTTACACCATGGGTACTTCTGTTTAGCGACCCGACTGTTCAAGGGGTGAAGATCAACATAAAGTTGCATGGTTCCATTTTTCTTATGGACTGGCACGATACGCGCGCAATACGGTGAGACGCTCGGTTTTATTATACCGCGCGACAATAAATCGTCTGTAATTTCTTGGATTTGATTGCGCTCAGCCCACGCAAACTTCCGAGGGGCATACGCGTACGTAGAGGTATCCTTGGGGTTAACTCGAACGTAATAATCATCGTCTATCGGTGTATCCGACAATTGATTCGTTTCTAATATTAATTGTTTTAATTTAGATTTAATTGACGAATCAAAGTCAATAGTAATTTCGTCAATTATATCCTTGAATATCGCCGCTTCATAACACGAGGCAATTTGCAATAATTCTGCCGGAAACAATTCTATTTGCTCGTGCTCGCTATTTTCATCCTCGGATTTATCCGGAACATAAGTAGCGGACAAATTATGTTTATCGAGAAAGTCACGTCCCAAGATCATGTCTGTTGCTAAGGAATTATCCGGCAATACATGTAAATCTACGTGGAACGAGTTCGGCAATTGCTCTAAACACAAACACGAGTTAACGCAACCTTGAATTTCAATAGCCGTGTTATTTAGTGCTTTATAAACGCGTTGAGGTCGAATATTCTGAAAGAAGGATCGTGGAATTCTCGATAAACATTGAAGTTTACTAGAGAGATAGGAATCTCTGTATCCAACAAAGCGCTTAAACTACATTTTATATTGTTAAATTTAGAAACCTTTATGGAGGTCCCTTTAATCAGAACGTTCCTACCAGCTGGTTATTGTACCAGGGCTACAGTGGCGTCAACTGCAGATTGGACTGCGGCGATGGGGCTGATCGTTTTGGCTGATATAGTCACTGGTGGCAGTTCCTTCTTCTTTAGTTTTGGGCACTCTGCTCGCAGCGACCCGACGACTTGTGTTCTGTGTCGAAGGGATGAGTTAATATCCACTTCGTCATTCCGCATGTATAGTTTATTGGGCTTGTAATTACACAACACGGTAAATTAGCTGTCTACATTTATAGTACTTATTCTTTTTTGTTCGTTTGTCGACAGCAACGCCTGGGGACGTTTTGAACGTCCTGAGACGTCTTTTACGCGCCTGGGAGCGGTATCGGAATCGCCCAGAGTCGTGTGTCTTGGCCACGCGTACGACTTTTTTTTGCACCTTTTTTATGTTACCTTTCGGTCGAACGAATCGTGTTAACACTTGAGGCACTTGCCTTGTATCGCGGTATGCTCGCACGCACAGGAAACAGATTCGGTAGCAACGACTCGTTGATACACCCTGTTTCTTGGTCACCGGAAGAAAGAATGCCTTTCTCACGATCGCGAGACCACGCGGAATCGTTTCTCGTCCTCTGGTCCTTGCTGATTGGTCCCGATAGTATAACCGTGGTGGGAAGGCGGTGACACGGCGATGCCGAGTTGAAGGACAATAGGCTAATTCTACGGAAGCAGGAGACCAGCTTGATCTCTGCCGCTTCTTATGATCCTTTCCGTCGATGCCGCCGTCTGTCTCCTCGCGTGGATTCGTTCGACTTTTTTATGGCGCGTGTGTGTGTGTGTGTGTGTGTGTGTGTCGTGCACGACGTAAGTCTGCGATATAACAACTTGCGATAGACAGAACCTCTTCGATTTGCAGACCTTGTGCGAATGACCTGTTTTTCCACACGCTGAGCAGGTTTCTGGAGACTTCGCAGCCTTGACTGAAACTGACTTCTTCTCCGTCTATGTAGAGATGGATGTCATTCGATCCATATCATCGAGGAAACGATCGATGGAATCCGCGTTGAATTCGGCTGCAGTAGCCCGCAAGAATGCGCTGCCGATTCCGGCAATTAGCAGATGAATGGAATCTCTTGGATTTAATTGGAGATCGCTCATGATAGCCAGTCGATCCATGGAAAGATTCTTTCTGCGGAGTCCATTTCTTTGCTTTGATTCTCTGCATCGCTACGTGGAACATCATCGTTCTTCCGAAGCGACGGATTAACGCTTCTCGAAAGACTGTCCATGATTCTATCATCGAACCTGAGTCAAGATCGTACCACCTTCGGGCGGTTTTTATTAAACGGGTGATTGCGGCCAGCAATACTACGTCGTCCGGAGCACCATGGACGCGTGCTATCTTGTCCACACGTTGGATCCACAGTCACATTCTCGGTGTCCGTACTGCCGAACTCAGGAATTTGTGGAGCCAAGAGATTTACAGCGTGTGCAGAAGACACTGTTCCGATGGATGCCTATCTGGACAATGCGTGACCATTCGTCGGCTGAATTTCAGTCGTTCTTGAAGGTGAGCTCTCCGACGTCAGTGAATCCGCGGATCTAGTGGAGTTCACTGAGCTACTTGTTGTAACAGTTGTTGCTGCTGCTGCAATTGAGTCGTTATGGACGTGAGATACTGCGTGAGAGCCTCCCACGGTGGAGCGGAATTTGTAACAGTCGCTACTTACGAAGCCGAGGAAACCGTGACCTTATTAATAGCACGTTTTTTTATAATGATCGATTATAGACCGGTTGGTTCTATCAATGCGGAGCGAAAACGTTTGAAGTGGGTCATGATGACATCGATTAACTATGCACGATCCTGACCTGCTGCAATTCTTAATTGGAGCTGTTCAGCTTCCTTGCGAAGCTCCTCCATCGACATCTCGTCAAGGCGGGCGCGATCCATTTCTGGAGTTAACGTCACGAGAGATGAGAAAAGTCACTTAAGTCAAATTAAGACGCGAGCGGATTGAAGAGGTTTTTAATAAAAGTGCTACACTGATCGCGACCATACGGTCGAAAGATCTAGCAAGGACGCACATGAGACCTCGGAACTCGCGGCGCGAAATCACGTATTGCGATCGTGTTCGTAAGAACCGAATCTGCGCTGAAATTCACACGCGGCAGAATCGCGAATAACTTGCGGATAAAGCGATTATAACGCGACACCACTGTGAATTGAACGCTAACAGTTCTCCCAGCTGAGAACGAGGTTAATCCCACTTCTGAATTTAGACTATAAGATTATTGTTATTAGCCTCTTTTAATGTCCGTTCCTCGTGCCCGACGCGGGAACGTTGCCACTACTACTAGTAGCGTACGCGGCCAGTCTGACGCCGTAGGAAGATGTCAGGGATGGACAAAGGCCTCAACTTGGATATACTATAATACTTCACAAACACTTTTATTGATCACAGAGTAATTTAAGTGGTACAAGTTAATACGTGTTAACTCTTTCGATATTTCAGACGAACTCTCCGGCGCTTCATGCGGCTCGCATGCTCCGGAGTATTCGCGCATGACCGTTTTGACGTTTACATGTCACTCGTTAATTGGTTTGTCGTGAGCCATCACGGCAGCGGTTCTCCACCAACGCAGTGGTGGTCATCGTAATTTTCTTACACTTTAATGCCAAATCATTAGCTTTAGGCCCGTATTGAGAACGTGCTTTTATCGATAAAAGCGTGCTTTTATCTCTGAAATTCTATAATATGCGTGACGTAAAGTATAGTATGTTAGCGCGCTAACATTGTTGTAAGCGCATTCTGAATCCCTTAGCGTACATACATGTCCTCACTCCATCTTTACCATGATAACGGAGTTTTTTCAATGTCAAAGTCGTTTAATGTTTTATATTTTATATCGGATTCTTCGATTTGTGTACCTTTAATAAAATTATTTATGACTTTCAAACACTTTTCAGTTGGTACAGCATCATCATTTCTGTGGCCAATTTCTTCACTCAAGGCTACGACTAGTAATGACAATAAAAGATTGTAAATTTTCCAAGGATTGCATTTTGTACAACTGAGAAATAGATCGGAAATAAAATTGGCATACTTTATTTGGCAACTGTAAGCATTCTCAATTACCAATGATTTTGATAACTGACGTCTAACCTTAAATACGAAGCAGGCAAATTTGATTGCTCGTTTTTTATTACAACGTCATAACAACATTGCAAATAATGTTTAAGATCAGCGCAGTCTGAGAAAGCACGTGATAAGGCTACTAATAGTGCTCTGTTACTGTAATCCTGTTACTGTAAACCTGTTACTGTAATCGATGGCACTGGAGTATCTACTCTACGGATTTCAAGAAAGAAGTACGTTAGTAACGCTGCAACCTGCTTTGCGGATATCAACTGAAATACCGGAATGCCACGTTCATTTTCTGGTACAATCACGCATTGGTACAAAAACAGATATGCAGATTTAGTACCATCGGGTAACATCAAATATTTTAATATTTTGCTATGCTTCTAGTGGCATCCACAGTAAAATAAGCATTAGCAGAATGATTGATTATTTTATGCATTGTAATTTGCTCTTTAGATCAATACATAATGTAAAATGGATCTAAACCTGTAATATGTATATAATCGGACCGTTTAGTATATTTGAATCTCAAAAAATCAAAAATGAAAAAATCAAGCCATGTTCAAAAAAAGATCCTCAAAAATTTAAATGATTCTCATACTTTTCATGTTCTTTTTCTGAGTCATTAACAAATTGGTACTCTGGAATTACAAGCAATTATTTTTCATTGTACGGGCTAGTATAAATTTCAAATCAAATCTTAATAAACGACTTTTATATTTTGTGCACTAAGAATAATATATCGCACTTATTTTATAGAATCAAATTGTAATCTGTTTTACTTGTATGTATGTATGTTCACTTTGAACTAGCAGCTTTAATAATATATCAGTTACTTTTCATGGCAATATATTATTAGATAATCATTTAAATTTTTAAAGGTTTAAATTTTTGAGGATCTTTTTTTGAACATGGCTTCACCTTTTCATTTTTTATTTTTTTGAGATATCACCTACTTTTTAGAATACAGATACGGGGCAGCTCTTTAGTAATGCAAGTATTACAAGTATATATATATATGTATTTTCAATTCCTATCACGTAACTTTCTACAAGTTACAATTTATGCAATACAGTTGTAACGATGCACCCCATAAAAGCATCGTTCCCGACGACCACCAGTCGGATGCCGTCGCACCCACCATCGG